ATACCTCTATCAAAACCTCCTCTTCTCCATGGAAAACAGTCCCAACTTCTTCATTCGATCTACATAACTGAAGCCCCTCATCCCTGGAGCTAGTTTCCCAAATCTTTTCTGTATTCTCTCTCTATATCATTCCTGAAGTGTGACACCCCAAAACTGAACTGCAATTCTCCAGGTGAGGTCAAACCATTGTCAATACAACGTAAAATAAGTTCCTTGCTCTTGTATGCTGTTTATAAAGTAGAGGATATTCTTGAACATAAGACCATAAGAAATAGGAGCAGGAGTGGGCCATCTAGCCTCTCGAGCCTGCTCCACCATTCAATAAGATCATGGCTGATATTTTTGTGACGCAGCTCCACTTACTTGCCTGCTCACCATAACCCTTAATTCCTTTACTGTTCAAAAATCTATTTTTTTCCTTAAAAACATTCAACAAGGTAGCCTACCACTTCACTGGGCAGGGAATTCCACAGATTCATGATGGGTGGCTCAGTGGTTAGCACTGCTGCCTTGCAGCACTAGGGACCTGGGTTCAGTTCCACCCTCAGGCATCTGTCTGTGTGGAGTTTGCACATTCTCCCCGTGTCTGCGTGGGTTTCCTCCCACAGTCCAAAGATGTGCAGGTTAGGTGGGTTGGCCATGATAAATTACCCCTAGTGTTCAGGGATGTGTAGATTAGGTGGGTTATAGGGGGATGGCTTTGGGTGGGATGCTCCAAGGGTCAGTCTGGACTTGTTGGGCCAAAGGGCCTGTTTCCACACTGTAGGGATTCTATGACCCCCTTTTTGGTAAAGTTCCTCCTCAACTGAAGCCTATATCTGCTTCCCCTTATTTTGAAGCTATGCCCCCTAGTTTCTTATTAAGCATGCTGTCAATCTCCCATGACTTATTCATATAGACACCCAGGTTGGTCTTAGCCTCTTCAGAATTTTACCTTTTATTTTACATCGTAATTTCACATTCTTCCGTCAAAATTAATCGCTTTGCATTTCTCTGCTTTGAATGAACTCTGCCAATTGTCCACCTATTCCACCAGATTGTCTCCCAAGTTTTGTATCATCTGAAAATTTTGAATTTGTGTCCGCTGTATATGAAAACCTAGATCATTAATCTACCCCAGGATGAGCAAGGGTCCTAACACCAACCACTAGGCAACTCCGCTACAACTTTCTCCCTCCCAAAATCAAAATACACTGATGACCATTCACTGACCCACCCTGACCTAGATGCCTATATTTTGACATCTTAATCAGACATTGTTTCCCTGGCCTGTTTTGATTTCTGATTGTAGATCAGTTATGTAGATCAGAAATAATAAGGACCCCTGTAACAATTGCAGTTCCACAATACCAATCTCTTAGACTCACCACTCCATACATCACTTCAGGGTCTATCCCTGGCGCACACCACACATAAAACCACCTATTATTGATCCCTGGGACTCTCCACTAAGTCATATCTTCCTTGCTAGTCATTGCTGTCAGCTTGCAGGAGAGTAGACTGATGGGGCCATAATTGACCAGGTTAGATTTGTCCTGCTTTTTGTGCACAGGACATACTTGGGCAATTTTCCACATTTTCGGGTAGATACCAGTGTTGTAACTGTGCTGGAGCAGCTTGGCTAAGAGAGCAGCAAGTTCTGGAGCACGAATCTTCAGTACTATTGCCGGAATGTTGTCAGGGCCTGTAGACTTTACAGCATCCAGTGTCTCCAACCGTTTCTTGATATCATGTGGAGTAAATCGAATTGGCTGAAGACTGTTATTTGTAATGCTGGGGACCACTGGAGGAGGCTGAGATGGATCATCCGCTGGGCACTTCTGGCTGAAGATTGCTGCGAATGCTTCAGCCTTATCTTTTGCACTGAATGTGCTGGCACCTTCCATCATTGAGGATGGGGATATTTGTGGATCCTCCTCCTCCAGTGAGTTGTTTAATTGTCCCCCACCATTCACAACTGGATGTGGCAGGGCTGCAGAGCCTGGATCTGATCCATTGGTTGTGGGATCACTTATCTCTGTCTATCACTCGCTGCTTTCGCTGTTTGGCATGCAAGTAGTCCTGTTTGGTGGCTTCACTAGTTTGATACCTCATCTACAGGTAAGCCTGGTGTTGCTTCTGGAATGCCCTCCTGCACTCTCCATTGAACCAGGGTTGATCCCCTGGCTCCATGGTAATGGTTGAGTGGGGGATATGCCAGGCCATGAGGTTACAGATTGTGCTGGAGTACAATTCTGCTGCTGTTGATGGCCCACAGCGCCTCATGGATGACCAGTCTTGAATCGCTGGATCTGAGCGAAGTCTGTCCCATTTAGCACGGTGATAGTGCCACACAACACAATGGGGGTTGTTCTCAATGTGAAGGCGGGACTTTGTCTCCGCAAGGACTGTGCGATGGTCACTCTTACTGATACTGTCATGGACAGATGCAACTGCAGCTGGCAGATTGGAAGGTTATCAAAAATTACAGGGGGATCTTGATCAGATGGGGAAGTGGGCTGGGGATTGGCAGGTGCAATTCAATACAGGTAAGTGTGAGGTGTCGCACTTTGGAAAGTCAAACCAAGGTAGGACTTATACAGTAAATGGTAAGGTCCTGAGGAGTGCTGTGGAACACAGGGAGCAAGGAGTACGAGTACATAATTCGTTGAAAACGGGATCACAGGTAGACAGGGTGGTGAAGAAGGTATTTAGCATGCTGGCCTTCGTTGGTCAAGGCACTGAGTATAGGAGTTGGGATGTTATGTTACTGTTGTATAAGTTGTTGGTGAAGCTGTACTTGGAGTATTGTGAGACAACAAGGTGCAGGGCTGGATGAACACAGCAGGCCAAGCAGCATCATAGGAGCAGAGAGGCTGACGTTTCGGGCCTAGACCCTTCATCAGAAAAGGGGGAGGGGAAGGGGGTTTTGAAATAAATAGGGAGAGAGTGGGAGGCGGATAGAAGAGGGATAGAGGAGAGGATAGGTGGAGAGGAAACAAACAGGTCGAAGAGGCGGGGATGGGGCCAGGAAAGGTGAGTGTAGGTAGGGAGTTAGGAAGGGGATAGGTCAGTCCAGGGAGGACGGACAGGTCAAGGGGGCGGGATGAGGTTGGTCGGTAGGAGATGGAGGTGCGGCTTGAGGTGGGAGTATTGTGTACAGTTTTGGTCACCCTGTTATAGGAAAGACATAGTTAAACTGGAAAGTGTGGAACAAAGATTTACGAGGATGTTGCCAGGACTAGTAGGCCTGAGTTATAGGGAGAGGTTGGCCAGGATAGGATTTTATTCTTTGGAACGTAGGAGAATGAGGGATGACTTTATTGAGGCATGTAAAATCATGAGGGGCACAGACAGGATGAATGCATATAGACTTTTTCCCAGGGATGGGGAATTGAAAACTGAAGGGCATTGGTTTAAGGTGAGAGGGGGAAGATTTAAGAAGGACCTGAGGGGCAAATTCTTCACACAGAGAGTGGTGCGTACATGGAATGGGCTGCCAGAGAAAGTGATAGAGGCTGGTACAACATTTAAAAAACATTTGAATAAGTATGTGGATGGGAAGGGTTTAGAGAGATATGGACCAAATGCAGGCAATTAGAATTAGATCAATGGGCACCGTGGTGAGCATGGACCAGTTTGGTCTGAAGGGCCTGTTTCCATGCTGTATTAGCCTATGACTCTACTCTATGAGGTCAAGTATGTTTCTCCCTCTTGTTGGTTCCCTCACCACCTGTCACAGACCCAGTTTAGCAGCTATGTCCTTTAGGACCCGACCGGCTCAATCAGTATTACTGCTGCCAAGTCATGCTTAGTGGTGGACATTGAAAACTCCACCCAGAGTACATTTTGTGTCCTTGCCATCCTCAGTGCTTCCTCCAAATGTTGCTCAGCATGGGGGAGTACTGATTCATCAGCTGAGGGAGGATGTACACAGTAATCAGCAAGTGATTTGCTTGCCCTTGTTTAACCTGAATCCATTAGACCTAATGAAGTCTGGGGTCAATGTTGAGGTCTCCCAGGGCAACTCCCTTCCAACTGTATAGCCCTGTGCTACCAGCTCTGCTGGGTCTGTCCTGCCAGTGGGACAGAACATATCTGGAGCAGTGATGGTGGTGTCTGGGTCACTGTCTGTGAGGTATAATTCTCTGAGTCATGCTGCTGCTTGACTAAGGTGAGAGTCAACCGCATTGCTCTGGAAGTCACATGTAGGCCAGACCAGGTGAGGATGGTGGATTTTCTTCTCTGAAGGATTCTTAATTACAGATATTGGGATTGAATTACAAATTCCACCATCTGCCGTGATGGAATTCAAACCGAGGTCCCCAAAATATTAGCTGAATTTCCTGGATTAATAGTCTAATGATAACATCACTAGGCCATTGCCTTCCCTGGAGTTCTGGATTACTGGTTCAGGTGGCATGGTAGCTCAGTGGTTAGCACTGCTGTCTCACAGCAACAGGGATTAGGGTTCGATTCCACTCTCAGGCGACTGTCTGTGTGGAGTTTGCATATTTTCCCTGTGTCTTTGCGGGTTTCCTCCCACAGTCCAAAGATGTGCAGGTTAGGTGGATTGGCCAAGGGAAATTGGCTGTAGTGTTCAGGGATGTGTAGCTTAGGTGGGTTATAGGGGGATGGGTCTGGGTGGGATGCTCCAAGGGTCAGTGTGGGCTTGTTGGGCCGAAGGGCCTGTTTCCACACTTGTAGGGATTCTATGATTCTAACCAACAGCACATGGCAGCTCACCACCGCCTTCTCAAGGGGCAACTAGGGACGGGCAATAAACGCTGGCTCAGCCAGTGATGCCCATGTCCCACAAATTATTTTTTAAAACTTAAAGCTACACCACCATGCCACATGACAGAGAAAGGAATAGAAGGAAATGCTAATGATTAGGTGAAGTAAGGTGGTAGGAGGCATGTGTGGAGTACAAAGGCCAGCACAGATGAGTTGGGCCGAATGGCCTGGTTTGTTATATAAAATGGATCTGGTGGAATCAGGTTTGTTTTCTTTCTCTGTAGATGATTGGGGAGATGTACGCAGTGGTGGAAACGCACGTTTCCGAGGGATTCCAGGCTCTGCTCAGGGAGATTGAGGAGCAAACCCTGCAACTGGAGAAGAAAATCCGCCCAGACTTCAATCAGATCCTCACCTCCAAGAAGCAGCTTGTGGCCAAACTCCAAGGTATGAGGCTGACTTTAACCTTAGAGACCAAACAGATCTGAGACTTAACAGTAATTGCATCTTTGCAAACGTGGACCTCCTGAATCCTGAAATCCTGAAAGTTTCAATTGGCTTCACCAAATCCCAGTCTTTTGTGGGTGCAGGGTCCACACACCCATTTATGCTCACAGCTCTGCTTGCATTACCATATTTGTCCAGCAGAGGGATATGGCAAGGTCAATTGATCAATTCATCCCACCCCGGCCAGACATGGACCATCTGACCATCCTCCACCCCCGCTCATCCCCCGTGTCCTGCAACAGGCAGACAAACACAGGAATCAAACTGATGAATCTGTCCAATATCATTACGCAGGGTTTGTCTGTGATGTGAGTCATTTTGTGCAGGGATTATACCTCTGACAGTGGGACGGAGGGGAATCGGCAGGGAATGGGGGTGCATGTTGGTCAGAGATAGCCAGGGATGGAGATGGATGTGGGACAGAGATGGACATGGGGTGGATTTGCTGGGGTGCGGAGAGGGACCTGGGTTGGAGATGACCAGGGGATGGAGCTGTACCTGGGATGGAGATAGCCAGGGGATAGTGATGGCCAGAGAATGGAGATGGCCAGGGGATGGAGAAGGTCCTGGGGTGGACATGGATCTGGGATGGAGATGGCCAGGGGACGGAGATGGCCAGGGGATGGAAATGGCCTTGAGACGGAGATGGCCAGGGGACGGAGATGGCCCTGGGACAGAGATGGCCAGGGGACAGAGAAGGCCAAGATACAGAGATGGGCCTGGGACTGAGATGGCCTGGGACGGAGATGGCCAGGGGAAGGAGTTGGCCTGGGACGGAGATGGCCAGGGGATGGAGTTGGCCAGGGGACGGAGTTGGCCAGGGGACGGAGTTGGTCAGGGGACAGAGATGACCAGGGGACAGAGTTGGCCAGGGGATGGAGTTGGCCAGGGGTTGGAGATGACCAGGGGACGGAGTTGGCCAGGGGACAGAGATGGCCTGGAACGGAGATGGCCTGGAACGGAGATGGCCAGAGGACGGAGTTGGCCAGAGGATGGAGTTGGCCAGGGGACAGAATTGGCCAGGGGACGGAGATGGCCAAGGGACGGGGATGGGCCTGGGATGGATGTTGCTGGTGAGGCTGAATCCTGACATGAGTTGTTTGCCCACAGAGTCACTGGGTGAGCGGATACAATGGTGCTGTGAGGCACAGGTACAGCCCCACATGGAGTTAGCACGGGACAGGCTGGCTGATCCCATGAACACTGGCCTTGAGGAAACTCGAAGACTGTTCTCTGAGGAAGTGAACCGAGTGATCAGTGTGGTGAAGAGCACAGAGCACAGCAGCAGCTCGCTGGCCAAGGTAACAATCTACAATCTCTCCTTCATAACCATCATTCCTGCCTGGGAACAGAGGAATAGCAGCAAAGTCTTTGACACATAGACACGTACTGGCATATGCATTAGAAGGAGGAGTGGACCCTTCAGCCCCTCAAACCTACTTGCTATTTGAGAAGATCGTGGCTGATCTGATTGCAGCATCAACTCCCATTCCCATCCCTTTAACTTCTTTGCTCTAACCCAGTCTTAAAAAACATTCAATGACCCTGCCTCCACTGTTCACAGAATTTCACAGAAGAGAAAAGGAATTGTCCTTTTCTCCATGTTAAATAGAAGTTCTCTTGTTTTTAAATAGCGCCCCTTAGTCTCACTCTCTCCCACAAGGAGAACCATCCTTTCAGCATGTACCTTATTGAGTTTTCCTGGGATTATGTAAGTTTCAATCACTTGTCCCTCTAAGCTCCAGTGGATATAGGCCCACTTATTAAACCTTTCCTCAGGAGATAACCTGGATTGAATCTCCTCTCAGTGGCTTTTAATGTCTTTCTCTAACTTTCTCTCACTTGCCTTTCTCATCACTTGCTGCGCCTGCATATTAACGTTTTGTGATTCATGACCAGATCCTTCTGTACTGAAGAGTAATACATCCAAAATGGTCAAAAACACATTACACTTCATTTGAGGTAACAAGGTGTAGAGCTGGATGAACACAACAGGTTTTTTCGGGTCCAGACCCGAAACGTCAGCCTTCCTGCTCCTCTGACGCTGCTTGGCCTGCTGTGTTCATCCAGCTCTACACCTTGCTGTCTCGGATTCTCCAGAATCGGCAGTTCCCACTATCTCTTAGACTCCATTTGTCAATTTTTTGACCACTCTCTTAACCTACTAGAACCCCTTTGTAGATTAAGTCCTCCTCATAACGTACTTTCTCGCCAATCTTTGTGTAATTGGCAAACTCTGCAAGCTCCTTTCATCTGAGTTATTTATACTGATTGTAAATAACTGAGTCTCAAGCACTGAACCCTGTTTCACTCCATTAGGTCCAAGCTGATAATGAAACGTTTATGCTGTTTGCTTCCAGTTAGTTAACCAAATGCTCAGTGTGTCCACGTCTCACATAATTAAAGATCTGTCTACCTCCTCCTTAAATCTATTCAATGTCCCAGCATCCACTGCACTTTGGGAGGGGGCAGGGGTTCGTGATGCTTTGAGAGAAGTAATTCCTCTTCATCTCTGTTTTAAATTTGCTATCCCTTATCCTCAAACTGTGACCTCTCGATCTAACTGCCCCACAAGGGGGAAACATTCGCTCTCGGGTGGGGGGGTGGCTGAAGAAAAATGGTTGCATGGTAACTTGGTAGGGTAGTAGCCGGCTGGTGGTATTGCTGATGAGATTTTAGAGATTATCAATGGGAAGCCAGAGTCAAGAGGCTGGGCTCTGAGTTGCACATCATTGGCATCCAGTCTCTGGGTCATAAGTCACTGTAGGTTCTGGTTAATAGTTAGTAGAGATGTAACCTGACTTTGGATGGATGTGACTGAGGGAGAAGCTTCAGTCTGATCCCACCATGACCATCTGATTGTGTGGCTGCCCTGAGTTTTGTTCTCAGTTAGTCCCATTTGTCACTAGGCGCTGGAGGGGTATTGGCTCAAGGCTCCTTCCTCTGCCGTTCTCATTCGAGTTTCTGATCGACCTTTCTTTCAGGTTTTAAGCCAGCTCCAAGCCCTGCCATATCAATCTGCCCAGCTGCATCACTGCTATGAGAAGACAGAAACACTGGAGCAGTCACTAAGCGAGCTGGCACCTCGATTCTCTTTCACTGGCGTTCGATTTCTGACCCAGCGGGCACAGAATATCATCCAACAGGTGTCACACATCCAGTAGACTTTGAAAATTCACACACACACGCGCGCACACACACGCGCACACATGCGCGCACACACACACGCAGGCACACACACACGCACACACACGCACGCACACACGCACGCACACACACACGCACACACGCGCGCGCACACGCGCACGCACACACACGCATGCACACACACACACACGCACACACGCACACACACACACATGCACACACACACATGCACACACACACACATGCACGCGTGCACACACACACGCACACACACACACGCACACAGACTGACATACACACACACAAACCGACACACACATACACAGACACACAAACACATGCACTGACATACACACAGACTGACACACACACACAGACACACA